GATTGTCTAATAACAATCATTTTGTTTTTTATCTGTTCCAAAGTGTCTTTACATCTTGTCTATGATGCATTACTTTATAAACTATTTTAGCCTAGTGTATAAAGACTGGTTATGTTTAATTTAGCTATACTTTACACAGTTCTGTCAGTAATAAAGCCTGGGTTTGACAGGTGTGATCCCCCCAAAAATGAATAGACACTGTAAACTGTGTGATGCACAAAGTGGGGGCCATGTCTTTTTTTTTCACAGGTCAAGAGAGTTTTGGAAAGCTTTTTTTTATTTTGATATCAACCCACACCATTTACTGTATGTATTGCTTTTTATATATACCATGGTTATATTTGTAACATTTCAAGATCTGACTGATAATCAGGCATTTGAGCATGACCAAAAGGGTGAAGAAATCTGTAAGAGGCATATTCATTTTACGGTATGTTCTCCTTTAATATGGAACAAATGCAGAACAGGTTGAAAACATACAGTTTGGTTAGAGTTGCCTTTGACTTTTTATGTAAACTGTTGACTGAAAGATAATAAATACTGGTTTCCAGTCTTTTTCTTGAGTTGCCTTTATATTTGCTAGTGTAATAGATGTTTTTCTGCATTTCCTTTTCTAATGTTCCTTTTGTATTCAGCGCTTTTCACTCTTGTAAGTGAAATGTGTTAGAGAAATGATACACTCGCCTTGTCTTGCCTAACTCAAACACATAAATTCTATAAAGATTTCCTTAAATTAGATGTGTTATTTCCCCCATTTTCCATATAAATAATGTAAATTCAAAGAACATTTGTATAAGTAGTTTAGTATAGTTTTTCTGTTTTTAAGTTTGTTTTATGGTTTATTTGAATCAGTATCACAATTTGAAATTGGAAAGTACAGAGGGAAGGGAAAATAAAAAAAAAAATCAGTTCATTAACTTACACTAGAATTTAAAGCTTAATTATTCATCTATTGGGCGCCCCTGGAGCATTGGGTCCCTGGGGCCCATGGCTGGATCGACTTCAGGGTGGCTGGCTGCCGGCGGAGCCCGGGGACTCATCCCCCTGGCTCCTGGGGACTCCGGCATTGCGTTGGCTGGGGGTTTTCCTTGGTGCTGTCTCTCCTCCTCCCTTGGTGGGGGGGGATCTTCTGGGGCGGCCCCTCCTGGGCGCCTTTGCTCTTGGGATCCCTTTGGGTGTGTGGGGCTTTGGGTTCCCCAGCCCTCGCCTCTGTGCTCTGGAGGGGCGAGTCTTCGGCTCTTCACAACCACTATTGAGCATTTTTCCTTTGGATAAACTTTACATGCACAGGTGCACTCTAACAAACAACTACAGGTGCTTGGTTCCAGGTACTCAGAGATTCACTTTCATACAGAAATCCCATTCTTATCTTTAGTTACCACAATATACATGTCAGATTATAATACTACATATACTCCAGCGATAGTATCTAGGTGTTACTTTATTATATCTCTTATACTATATCCGTTGTTTGTGCTGTTCTTCTTACATCTCTTTGCAGGTGATGAAGCAGACTGAAGATGTTTTATCGTTATCTCCCTTTTATCTTCTCTTTCTTTAATCTTTTCTCCTTTTCTTTTCCTTTCCTGTTCTACTTACATTGCAATGTCCATACAATCTTTAATACTCCCTGCATGAATTAGCGGACCACTAATGGGGATAGCCGTACTGCTCCACTTGTGAAAGCAAAATCTGTTGGGCTCTTTTTGGCATCAAGACAACTATTTTTATTGCCACATCACCAGACAGGACACTGTAAAAAAAAAAAAAAAAGAATAATAATAAAGCTTAATTAAATGTATTGTGGAGGATTTTTGCGAATTATTTAAAAGACCTGCCCTCTCCACTTAAAAAAAAAACACTCATGCACAACCCTGTACCCCTGCTGCGAGGAAACACCTATTAAATGATGCAAGGGCATGCACAAGCCCATTTCTCCTTGTACACGCTCTGTTTAAAAGTTGCTGTTCTCATAGCTCAAAGAACCTTACTGTGCCTGAACATAGACCCTAAATCCCTCAATCACTTTATAAATCAGGGACTATAAAGTGGATTTTATAGCAAACTCAGTTAACTGACCGTTTATGCAGATGACCACTGCTTTTTGCTCCCCGTTGGTCTCGTAACTCCTCCACCACACAGTGCCTGCGCCATCTTTTTTATTAGTCGCCACTGTCAGGTAGTGACAGGCAATGGTGACAGCGGGCCACTGTGACAGCAAATCCCATAATGCTCTGCAAGGACAGCTCTCCTTAGGACCACCTTATGTGAACATATCACCAGAATGATTGACAATTAGGACGACCACTTATTTAGATGATCCACCCGAAAATAAAAGATTGTCTACTATACCTTTAAGTATGTTATTCAACTCCCAATGTTGCATTCTTATATATCATAGTCATTCCTAGGGTTGCCAAATGTCCCTTAAAAAATGTAATTGTTCTGTATTCAGAAATTGAAGTACCTCTGCCGTATTTAGTGGAAAAGGAACGCACTTTGTCCCCTATTACTGTGAGAGTAAGAAAATTGTCAGTAAAAAGCTAATGGAAAATGAAGAACAAGGGCAAGTTAGAAACAAACCTTACGGTAAACTTGTTCCCGGGTCCTGTCCTGCGTTGTGACCAATAAGCTGACAACATATATGTATTGATTCAGAATACCCTCATACCATTGGTCGAGCCAAATGTTGCTCACGGAAAAGATAGCGGGAGACAACAGAGCAGTATGGGGGACCAACGGAGTAATTCAAATGCTGAAACTGACTTTGGGGGCTGGAATAGTATGACAGAGTATTAGGGCCAGGCTAGAGATTTTTTTTCTTCAATTTCGAGATTAAAGTCATAACATTATGAGAATAAAGTCATAAAATTATGAGAATAAAGTTGTAACATTACGAGAATAAAGTCATAACATTACGAGAATAAGAATAAGAAAGCTCAGAGCTCCGACCAGCATATAACGGCCGACCAGCTCCACCAAACAGAAACCTGAGTCCACTTTGATCAACTGCCCAATCTGATGCTGGTGTGCTAAAAGATTTTCTCTTTTGTGAAACCAGAGCCAAGGTATAACTTCACATGAAGCTCGGAATTCCTCATTTTACGGAAGAAATTATTTTTGTAAGAGTTGTCAACAAATACAACTTGTTTATCGTAATTCTAAGACTTTAGTCTCTTAATATTACGACCTTATCTCATTATTTTAAGACTATTCTCGTAATGTAACGACTTTATTTTCGTAATTTCACGACTTCTTGTAATGTAATGACTTTATTCTTGTAATGTTACGACTTTTTCTCGGAATTTATGACTGTATTCTCGGAATTTTACGACTGTATTCTCGTAATGTAACAACTTTATTCTTGTAATGTTCTTTTTTTTCTCTGAATTTTATGACTTTATTCTCATAATTTTATGACTTAAATCTCATTGCAACTTTATTCTCGTAATGATACGACTTTATTTCCGTAATTTTATGACTTTATTTTCGTAATGTTACGACTTTTTTCTCAAAATAGAAGGGAAAAAAAATTTCTAGCCTGGCCCTTATACTCCTACGAATACGTCGTACGAGTATTCGAGGTCAGGCTAAAAAGGCTGTAAAAAGAAAAAAGGATGGAGAAATATAGGGAGGAATGGGAAAAAACAAATACCTGGGTGGAAATAGTCAGCGATAAAGAATATAAAGCACACTGCAAATATGAATCTAATTCAATGCAAATTTGAGTCAAATATTTAAAAAAAATTATTTCACACACAAAAGGGGGAGTGTCACTACGCCAGGAGGGTTAAAGGCAACCGGGTCCGGAGGCACGCTCATGAGGTATCCCTTTTTCTTTTTTAAAGGAGTTGGCGACCCTAATCATTCCTTTATCAAAATCAAACTTTGTGAAACACCGAAAAATTTTATTTTTGACTGGTTTAAGCACATACATTGTGTTTTATACAGAGCCCCCTGGGTGTCAGGGTAAAAGAAAAAAAAAAAGCTGGTGGAAATCCGTTGGCACGGATTGATTGAGCGCACAGATTGAGAAACTGTGCTCTCGGTTTATTAATCCGTGCCACCGGATTGAGAAACTGTGATCTCGGTTTATTAATCCGTGCGCACGGTTTGAGAAACTGTGCTCGCGGTGTATTAATCCATGCCCGCGGATTGAGAAACTGTGCTCTAGTTTTATTAATCTGTGCCCGCAGATTGAGAAACTGTGCTCTCGGTTTATTAATCCGTGCGCTAGGATCAATAAACTGTGTGCCCTGCTTTGTATTCCGTGCGCATACAGCGGAACCTTCAGAGTTTGATGCAAGTTCAAGCTCTAAAGCATGCTCATTTAAAGCATCGCACTGCACTAAGTCTATATGTTTATATGTATATATATAACAATTAATTGACAAAACTTACCTTGTGGATGTGGCCCATGCATCAAACTCTGAAGGTTCCGGAACAGCTGTGTGCGGAATGCAAAGCAGGGCTCACAGTTATTGATCTGTGAGCACGGATCAATAAACCGAGAGCACAGTTTCTCAATCTGCGGGCACAGTTTCGTAATCTGTGCAAATGGATTGGAAAACCGTGCGCTTACTTTATCAATCCGTGCCCACGGATTTCCACCGGCTTTTTTTTTTTTTTTTTACCCTGACACCTAGGGGGCTCCGTAGTTTCAGCATATACAGAAGCACAGTTATTTTAACTTAAAATGATGCCTCTTTTAAAAACATACTTATAATCAATTATATTAGCTAAATTTGATGCACTAACAAACAAGTTGTCTCTAGATTCTGTCGTTCATATTATATCAGCAATATTTAAAGAAGAAGCTGATCATATTTGCACAACTTTTACATTTCTGTAAAATTGTCTGCATTCCTAAAGTCTGCCCTCATGTTGGGCCAGTATCATGGTTACTGGGTTTGCCGTGCGTTATCTCAGCACGGGACCTTCTAACACCAATAGTTTTTGTTTTTTCCACCCTCCATGTGTCTGAGTTACAGCGAGGATTTCGCCTCGCCCGGAGCGACGTCACATTAAGGTGGAAGAAGACGAGCTCATTTTTCCAGCCTGTTCTCATCTAAAGAAAACACGCAGACAGACTGAGCGGGAGGAGAGTCGCCTCTACCTGCAGCCTGTGGGCGCCCTCAATTATTTCACCAACTTCTTCATCAGCGCGTCAGCTCAGAGCGCTCCTCATCTCACTGCGCAGCGGCTTTTTCTTACCTTCAGCTGCGCGTCTCTTCCTCTTCTTGCCTCACAGAAGTGGAACTGTGACAGAATCAAGAACTTAAGAGTTGGATCATTTCCGTGCGCAGTCTGGAGTGTTTTCCTTACAGACCACATTGAAACCATGTAATTGCGCTGTGACAGACAAAGCAATGCGATAATGAAGAGGTTAACCACACCTTTGAGTGCGGACATCACTTCTCTGGCCACTTGACCGGCTTTGCTGAGCATTAAAATGCGCCCCAGTGAAGAGGAGTTGGACTTTTGCGCACTCCTTGACGGACACTTTCCAGAGAGCGTTGACTGATCCGCGCCGTCATAGAAAAAAAACAAACAAACAAACAAACAAACAAACAAAAAAAAAAAATCAGTCGGACCTCCTATGATTCTAATTAATAATCACAGTCGGTGTTGGCTGAGGTCGTTATATTAAAGTTTGGCGAAGGGAAAAATCTCCTTGCGGAATTGCAGCGGTCAACATGACGGTTCGCCTCTCGAGGATCCAGCTGGCCCTGTTCTTTATCTTGCTCTGTCCGGTCAACATCATCGGACTGTGGTGGTAAGTTAGCACGTGGGTTCAGTGTCCCTGTCATTGTTTCACTAAGTATGGGATGTTATTCATGTACTGTACTTCTCCTTATATTCCTGGTGTGTGATCTAAATTTTATTTATCTGCGAATCAGCTTTCAGGAATGCAAACTTTCAGTTTCATAGCTGGTAATAATTATTATATTTTTTTCTTTACATAAAAAAAGTAACCCCAAACAAAATTTTAAGACTTTACTTAATAAACAGCAGATTAACATCACATCATTCAGAGTGATGGATTTTTAAGGATATTTGTCTTCCATAAAAGATGACCAGCTTATTAAGATGTTAACTGGCCTTTTTCCCTAAGGATTACACCCTAAAACCCTAAAAAAAAAGAGAGAGAGAGAGAGGAGAAACAGCCAGGTTTGTGATACAGTGGTACATTTTGAAAATTAGAGCTATTTATTCAACAAAGCTTCTTTCCCTGATGTTAATTTGTTAGAATCATTCAATAGCTTTAAACAACATTCACTCAACTGATGTACTGATGTTTGTTTTTTGAATTTTGATTCATTCTATGGCTTAAAGAGAGATACATATCCTGATTTAAGGTACTGCTTACCGCATTAGACACCGCCTCTGACAATATATTCTCAATGGGTTGTTTATTGGTATATTTGTGATTTTTAGATTAATGATCATCATATATCTCTGCAGTCTTTCAGGATGTTTTGTAAATGTATTTGAAAGGGGGAAAAAAACTTATTTTAAAATACCTTCATCGTGTTTTTGCTCCTTGTAAAAACCTTTTTTTCATACTAATCTTTCCAAACTTTTGTGCACAAATAAAAACTTCAGCAAGAACTGTGGAGAGATTAACTATTTAGGCTGTTCTTGAGCAATTTCTACCTTATCTGATTTGCCTATTTTTTCTGAATTCATTTTTTTTTTAGATATTTGTATAAACAGTTTACACAATACAATTATTGTACTAAATATTATTCAACAGAGGCTGTGGTTTTATAGATTATTCACAATAATGCTTCATATGGTTTTTACCATAATCTGATTTTCCTAAACCCCAACTGGTCAACTGACTGATGCTTCTCTTATCATAGTGTGTAAAAGAAATAAAACAGAGAGGTAAAAAGGTGAGTGTGCTCTTTGTTGCCTGCAGTGAGAAAGGTCTGTAAGGTCGGTTAAGGTGTTGCTGATGATGTGTGTGTCTCTGACGGGAGTTCATGTTAAGGAATGTCAGGTGGCCCTCTAGGCGCAGTGGATATGTCATCATAAAACAATCCATATAGGCTCAGCTCAGTAGGATGGGTGACAGTTGAACAGACAGATGGACATAGAAGCCCAGCAGATCTACTGATAACATATTTCCTAATAATGTGAGTTTTTGTTTATATGATGCTTGTAATTCTAATGTTTCTGTTCCCATCTCTTGCACTCATGCATGCACACTTCTGCAGTGTTTAATAGTGGAGCTTTGTGTTTTTTTTCTGTTGGATCCTCCCACTGTTCATTCATAGCACAGTCAAGGTCAGTGTGGGATGTAGTGTCACTGAGGCACTGTAAGTGCATTTACTTGTTGACTGGCAGGAGACTGGGCTAAGCTTAGCAGTTTGGTTTCTCTGATCAGGGGTGTAATTGAACAGAGCATTACGACTGCTTTGTTATCATACATTTAGCATGTTTGGAGAATGTAACACACTTAAGCCATTGTTTCCCCACAAGGGTGCAGCGATATACATTGGTCTTTTCTCTTATATTCTTTCTGGACAAGAAAAGACCAAAATGAATGCAGGGCCCTGCGGTGCTCTCTTAATCTCCAGCATCCAGCATTTTCTTATTCTTATTGTGTAACACTTTGTACAAATACATGTTATACTCGGTTCTTATTAGACATTACTGCTTGAAATAAAAAAGGTTACGTGAATTTTGCATTTAAAAAAAAAAAACCTTGCATAAGATTTGGAAAAAATCGGACTTCAGACGAGTGTAATGGCTGACATGTTCTGCCCCCTGGCAATGCTAAGAAATGTGCAGGAGACAAAAACAGCTTCTCCCACAGCAATGGAGAACATTACTTTGAAAATAATACTGGATTATATATATATAAAACTAATACACTTAAAATAACTACCTTCTCTTTAAATTATGGCATTATTGGACTCAGAGCACAGCGTAATGTAGCATTTACATAAAATCATCAAACAAAATGTAAAGCATTACATTTGCCTTTATTTAAAACTGAAAAGCAACCATTATTACAAAAACTGTTAATATAATGTAATATATATTTAAGTTAAGAAATTTCCAACATGGAAGGATTGTATTTTGATGTAGGTGTAAGCAACAATATAGTCTGGTACTTTTACTCTGGTACTCATATCTTGCCAGCCAGGGTGACAGTTATCTCTGCTTTATTTATCCAATTGTAAATATTAGTTGTTTTCCAAACTTCCAAGCACAGAAATGTATTTATTTTTCGATATTCTTGTAAGCAAATCAGAAATCCAGAAACATTCTTTCAGCCAGCTAATAGGAGGAGTGCAGCACCAGGTAAGGAAGAGTTGCGATACTGCTGCACAAAAACTCTGGCATAGCCAATTGCATCACAAAGAAATGACTGAATGTTGTAAGGTATAATGCACTACTTAAGCTGTTTGGTTTAATTGGGCTTTAGTTTATTTCCATTACTACTTTGAGTACTTTAAAAAAATACAAAACTTAAGTTGTTGACAATTCTGGAAAAAAGAGGGGAAGAAACAATAGATTAAGATAAAGATAATAAAGCAAAACATAAAGTCTACCTATAATGTAGAAAGATAACTAAAAGTAGGTGAAATTTTATAGTGCAATTTTTATTGGAGGGTAAGTATAATTATCAACCAAAGTAGTAGGCATTTTGGGTCCTATAATAAAATAAGAAAAATCATATCTTATCATAAACGCTTTAGTATCTTATTTAAGGGGGCAAATTTTCCAATCCTTTACCAGATGATTTTACCTACCTTATCAGAGGAAAGAAAATACAATCAATTTAAATAATAAATCCTTTAAATTGAGATTTGGATGTGATATGCTTCCTGTAGCTATCTATCACAACTAAAAAGCTTGACAAATTGTGTTGATAAGCTGTGTGATTGTCTCAGAAACCATTGCACATATTTGTTTAAGGAATCAGAAGCAACCCAATGACTCATGTAATGTAAAATAAATCCTCTTGTCAGATAAAGTATTTCAGTCAGTGCGGTCCATTGCCAAAGATAATTTATCTGGTTTGATAAATCCATGTAAGAGGATAAGTGCCCTCTTCAAATAGCGTAAAAAAAAAAGTCCAGAGGAAAAAAATAACCTGTAAAGTATTCCGATACATAAAGTAAAATAAGCAATACATTTACTGTGTTAACATCTTAAAAAACTTTTAAGACACAGTGCATAATATATGGTTAAGCTATGCATAAAAATATCTTGGTCCTGCTGCCACCTTATACCAATTTGAAATTTCACCCTTGTAACGAGTAAAAGACAATTCATTTTTTATCTCTTTGCAGTTTTTCTTAAATAAATTGGCACCATCCATCCATCCATCCATCCATCCATCCATCCATCCATCCATCCATCCATCCATCCATCCATCCATCCATCCATCCATCCATCCATCCATCTTACTCTTCTCCATCTCATTCTGGGGTGTATCAACATGTTCTAAAGCCAAAGGAAAATAAATACTTCTATGTGTTCTAGGTCTACCCTGGGATCCCACCCTTACTTCCAAAGGAAGGGGGTAGGGGGGAGTTAGGGAGCATCCAGAACACATATTATACTACAGCAAATCACTCTGATAAATGGAGTAGTGATCCTTCTCCTAACTTACCCTTAATGCCATATTTCCTTATATAATAAGGCTGAGACATCCACCATACAGTGGCTTTCCAGGTCTCCCTTAAAAAAAAAGATGGTTAATCCCAAACATAACTTTCCTGGTAAATACAGGTTTAATATATAACCTAATGTGTAACCTTATTTTAGGCATATATGCCTTAAATTCCATTGTTTTAGCCATAAATTGGACTATAGATGGCTATGTATCTAATTTAATGTCCATATGTGGGCCGTGGAACACAGATGGAGTGTAAAATCCAAAACATCAATTTTTCTGCCTGAAGTACAAGTTACTAATTCCATCTTTAATTGATCCTTCTATCACTCTTCCTCATGAGTAAGAGATTCCCCCCCTTAAACTATGACTAAAATCCTGTAAAATGGTATTAACCAGAGATGGCAAAAGTACTCACTTTCCGTACTTGAGTAAAAGTACAGATATTTGTGTAAAAAAATACTCTGGTAAAAGTGGAAGTACTGATTAAACTTCTTTACTCAAGTAAAAGTAACAAAGTACAGGCTTGTAAATTTACTTAAAGTATAAAAGTAAAAGTAGAAACCACTTTTTTCATGCCGTTGCCTACATTTTAAATGGATGTCAGCCAATAGGACTAGATCTCCGTTGTGTTCATTTTCAATCATCTCGTCGTCCATACTACTATGCTAACGCCACCGCCACCAAGCTGCAATGATTTGCCGCCAATGAATACCGCCGAATCTGTCGATTCATCTTGTAGTGGTGCGTCAAATGCAACGTAGATTCCCATCCAATTAGATTGAATTTGGTATTGATGACGTGAAAAATAATAACGGTAACTCCATTGAAATGATTCAAAACTAAAGTAACGAGACATTTTTTAAAATGTAAGGAGTAGAAAGTACAGATATTTGTGTAAAAATGTAAGGAGTAGAAGTAAAAAGTCTCCATAAAAATAAGTAGTAAAGTAAAGTAAAAATATCAGAAAAATCTACTTGAGTACAGTAACGAAGTATTTGTACTTCGTTACTTCCCATCTCTGGTATTAACTGGTATAGAACTTATTGACTTAGAGGAACTAAATTGCATCGCAGCTGCTTCACTCCATTGTGATCGGCTCCTGTGCACCATTTAAGTAGTGGCTAGAAGTCAACAAG